TGTTGCGCTGGACCGGGAGCTTTGGCTTAATCGCCTGGGTTGCGAGGAAGGCAACCTCTATAAAAATGCCCCCTAACTCAAGTTATGGTGTGTGACGATGAGTGCATGGCTGGGGGAGTCCAATCGAAAGCGGCCGACCTCAGGACACCTGGCACCCCCTGTTGTATCGAGCCTTCCCTCCTGGAAAGGGCGGGGGGGATGACATAAATTTCGTCCCTGCTCGTGGGAACCAAATGAGTGATTTCAAAAATACAAACAAAACCAAAACCAATAACAAGGATGAAAAAAAAGTGAAGAAGAGAAGGGGGAAGAAGCGCACGAAAGGCGGCGTCGCCAATCGCACTGGAGATCGAGAATGAAATGTGCAAAAGTGTGAGAATGGTAAAACTTATGTTATGCTGTGGTAATAAAGGGTGCGGATGAGAAGATGAGTAGCGATTAAGTGAAGGAAAACTTAATGAAGCATGTGAAACCGGATATGAATGTGCGAGTGAAAGCGGTAAGACGAGGAATGATGTGGTGAGACTGCGAGTGAAAAGGAGAGAAAGACTCTGTGTGAAAGTAAGCGATATGAGAGTGCGGATTTGACAGTTCAGTTGTCTCGAAAGAATATTTCCGAAGGTAATAGTGTTTGACGAATGAAATAAATGAGAAAAAGTTCCTAGGTGAAATGTATGCGAGGAATCTGAAGGAGTGTATGTCGAAAAGTGAGTTTGAAGAGCGTGTGAGAATAGTGAATAGGGATGGAAAGAAAGGTGCGACCCTAGGGAATGTTGTGATGGAGGTGAGTAAGAATGTATGTGATAAATTAGTATACGAAGAGTAAATATATATTGAGTGGAGTGCTTTCAAGGTTAAAGTATATGAAAGTTGCTTCGATGTTACTCGTCATGGATATGGGCATATGAGTAGAGAGTGCAACGTGGGAAAGGTATGTAGAACGTGCGGTGAGAAGAGTCACACTGGCGAAGGAATGCAAAAAGAAGGAATATTGCAGACACTGCTTGCGGACAGGGCGATCTGCGGATCACTCTGTACTAGCAAGAGAGTGCCCGGAGTATATGAGAGTGTTGGAACGTATGAGAGAACGTATTGATAATGGCTAATAAGAGAATAAATGTATTGCAACTGTCAGAATGCTTAGGTGTGATGTGTGATTTGGGAAATGTAGTGAGGGAGAAAGGTGTGAATGTGTTGGCATTGCAAGAGCGAATGTGATGAGTGTGGCAGGAAGTTGTATGGAAGAGTTGTATGTGTGGATGAGAGTGTGAAATTGTGAAATGTATGTGTGTTCTGTGTATTGTCAGTTTAGTATGCCTGTGGAACCTATGATTGAGTATATGTGGAAAGTTGTGAATGTAATAAAAGGGAGAAATCCCTTTTGATGTGTATAGATGGGAATACTGTGTCGGATGCATGGTTCAGCAAGTATGTGGGTAGAAGTAGAGTAAGTGAATTGAGAGGTGAGAAAATTGTTGAATTTATAGCTGAATGTGAAATGCATGTGTTGAATGTACCGAGCGAAGAGTATACGTACAGTGGGCCTACAGGCGAGAGTGATATTGACGTGAGGATAATGATAAATGAATGAGTTTAGAGTGTGGATGGAGAATTGAGAACGATTGGTATGTAAGTGATCACAATGTGATAATGATTGGTGTGTCGTGGGATGAAAGAGTAAGTGTGATGTAGGATTGAAAGATAATATGCTTAGATGGAAGAGAAAGTATAATATTGATTGGAGCGAGGACGTAAGAACGATTGAGGTGAGAGCGGGTGAGACAAGTTTGAATGAGTTTGCTGAATTAGAATTGAAAAAGAAGATTGAGAAATTGATGGATTGGATTAGGGATGTTAATGACGTGATCTTTGGAAGGCAGATTGGAGACAGGGTACACGGGAGAGAATTAGGGATGTTAATGACGTGATCTTTGGAAGGCAGACTGGAGACAGGGTACACGGGAGAGTTGGATGGAGTGAGATGGTGGACGGATGAGCTGGAAAGAGAAAGAAAAAAAGGATGTATCAGAGGGGGATAAGGGAAGGAAGAAGCGAGGTACCTATATACGAGGTATAGTCATTGCGTGAGAGAGTATAAGAGCCGAATTATGCAGCAGAAGGAAAATGATGGGGGAAGTTTGTTGGCAAGGAAGGGAATAGGAATTCATGGAGAATGATGTATAAGGTCTGTAGGGAGAAGAAAAAGATACGGATGTAGTGAGTGCAATGAGTGTAGATGGAAGGATGAGGGTTGGAATGAGACTATAAATGTCTTGTTGAATGAGTTCTTTCCTGAGAGTGTAATGCGATGAGAATGTGTTGAGTGCGAGTACGGATGATAGCAAGGAGTTTGAATAGAACGAGATTGAGCGGGCTGTGCGGAGTATGCGCAGTGAGAAAGCGCCTGGAATGGAGTGCCTGCGGAAATGGTTAAGAGAGTCTGGATGGCTGTGCCTGTGCGAATGAAAATGTTGTATGATGAGTGTCTGCGAAGAGGTGTGTTCCCGAATGATTGAAAAAAGGATAGGGTGGTAATCTTACTTAAGTCCCCGGAGAAAGTAAGGACAGATCCCAGGTCGTATTGGCCGATATGCCTACTATCCGTAGGAAAGGTTTCAGAACGGATGATGGTTGAAAGGCTGCAAGTATGTATGAGGACGAAAGTACGAGTAAATGAGAGACAGTATGGCTTTACGCGAGGAAAGAGTGTGGACGATGCGTGAGTTCATTTAAAGAGGAGTGTGAATGAATCAGAAAAGAAGTATGTAATGGGTATATTTGTGGACTTTCAGGGCGCGTTTGACAACGTTGAATGGACAGCTGTGCTAGATAGAATGCGTGAAATTGAATGTGATGATTTGGCGATGTGGGTAAATTATTTTAGGGATAGAAAGGTATGTGTGACGAGCGAGAATGATATTGTGTGGAAGAACGTAAAAAAAGATTCGCAAAGATCGATTTGTGGGCCTACGGTTTGATGATATTGTGTGGAAGAACGTAAAAAAAGATTCGCAAAGATCAATTTGTGGGCCTACGGTTTGAAATTTTATAATGAATGATCTGTTGAATGATCTGGTCGAGAATGGATGTAATGTGTTGACATACGCGGATGATGTACTTATGTTAGTTGAGGGATCGAATAGGAGGGAACTGGAGATGAAAGGGACAGAATAGATGAGAATGGTGACTGAATGGGGAGAGAATGTGGGAGTGAAAGTATCGGAAAGAAAGACAGTGGGTATGATGTTGAAAGGGAAGTTTGCAAAGAGCTAATGTCCAGTTGTAAGAGTAAGTGGAAAAATGTTGACGTTTGTTAGTGAGATATGATATTTGGGTGTCAGTATGAGTGAGCGAATGGGCTTCGGTGTGCATGTGAAAGAATTGTATGGAAGAGTTATGAATGTATTGAGTGGGCTAAGAAGAGTTATGAGGATAGAATGGAGACTGAAGGGGAGAACCGTACGAATGATATATAAAGGATTGTTGACAGCATATGTGATGTATGGTGCGGTTACGTGGCATGAGTATAGAATATGCGTATGCTAGAAGGATGATTGAACAGTGTGAGAGAGTGAATTTGTACATGTATGAATGTCTGCAGAACTATGTATACCGCAGCAGGAGGTGCTGATGGGAGAGTTATCGTGGATATACGAGGTGAAACGGCGCGTAAGCTTGTTCCAGATCAGGAAAGGTGAAAGAGTGACCTGTGTGGACGGGATAACGGAAGAAATGATAGATGGGAAGAGCTTGAAGGAATGAAGAAACATCATAGATAGCGCATTGATAAATAAGTGGCAGCATGCATGGGAAGGGAATAGCAAAGATAGAGTTACGTACGCGTGGATAAAAAAATGTAAGGAGTATTAAGAACTGTGTGTGGATTGATCCAACTCTTTCTATGGGGCACCTCCTAACGGGATATGGAAGTATGAATGGGTATTTGTACGATAGGAAAATAGCTATGACTGAGATGTGTGATTGCGGAAAAGGGAGAGAAGACTGGATGCATGTTTTGGTTGAATGTGAGATGTATGATGACATTCGGGATTTGGGTGGCTGGAGTGTAGATCTGAAGTCTGGAGTGGTTGGTGATATGAATGACAAGATTGAATTGTGAATTCGGTAGTATGGAATAAGGATAAGTATGAAATGATAAGTTTGTATGCGAAGGAAGTGTTTAGGAGGAGGAGAGTGCGTGTGGAGGAGAGACTGTGATTGGGTGATGAATGAGTTTGAATATGGGTGCGCGAGGTGAAGCAAGGAGAGATGCGGATCAGGCTGAAAGCTTGGTTCTCGGCCTCGAGACAATGCCTCGGGCTCGGGTTACTGAGCGATTCCTGTAAAGCATCTCCGTAGGAGACGCAAACTGGTAGTAGCTTAGGCTACGACGATCTGACCGATGATTTAAATCGATACCGCGGGAACAGAAGCGCCCATGGGCAACTGCCCATTCTCAGTCATGGGAATCATCGCGGGGGCAGTGATTTGATAGCTGCATGCTGGCTAGGGGCCTTTGGTCCCAACGGGTGAGCTGCGTTACAGCTTGGGAACTAATCTGTTTAGCTGGTAGAGCGTGGATAGTTGCTCGCTCCGACCAGTGAGTTGCTTGCCAGGACCTCCCGCAAGCGTACTGGTAGTCAAGCCTCGCGCGATCTCGCGTCTTGTGATGACGGAGGAACAGCGATCCTGCCACGTCACAGTAAATTCAAACATTTTAACTGCATCTAATGATATATATTTGTTCTCTGCATATAAGAATATTATTTCCATCAATATTAGATATGTTTCTCTGATTACAGCTCTCTTCACTGATATGTTTCTCTGATTATAGCTCTCTTCACTGTTGACGCATAACTGCATCTCTTGAACTGTATTTACGCTAACTATCCAGATAGCATTTACACAGCACAATATATTAGGTGTACAAATAAGTTTCCGCCGTTTTTTATCAAAAATTAAGCATTTATTGTGAAAGAACGATACATAATGTTTTATTGTTTTATTGAAAGTATATTGTCCATCTCTAGCCTCTACTTTTTCCCATCTTTCTGGTAGCATACGGATACCCCGTTGGGA